AAATTAAAGAAATCCAAAGAAAAGGAAGAAACTAAGAAAGAAAACAAAAAATAAAAATCGAGAAAGAGCAAAAAAGGAAAAGAAGAAGAAAAAACAGTTGAAACCGATAAAGAAACAAAGAAAACTAATGAGAAAACAAAGGAAATTAGAGAGAGAGAGAGAGAGAGAAACAAACAAACTAAAGAAATCAGTAAAATCAAAAAACGAAGCGAACAAATCCAGTGATATGAGCGAGTGAGCAACCAATGATATAAAGGTCCGGCATGTTACTGTAATGTTTTGGAAAATTTTGAGGTGAGGGAAGCTTATCTTCTATATCTAAATAGTTAGCCCTCACTAACAAATTTTTCTCAACATGCAAGCATGCCACATCATCAAGCAACATGCATAGCAAAAGGCCCACCACAACATGCATTCATGCACATGAAAATGTCCATCTCAACATGCAAAACATATATAGATATTTTACAATACATTAATCAAACACAATAAAGCATATGGATTTGCAATTTTAGTTTTCGTAGTATCACTATTCACGTTTCATAGAAATCACATATCATCGAAATGTATTGCAAATATTTCCGCAACAACATGCGAGGTATCATCTAGTATTCTTAATATACTAAACCTAGCCAGGTTTCTTTTTTCTTGTTTTTGGCTTTTTATCACAGTGAAAACCGGGCCAATCGGGTGATGACACGATATATATTGAGGGATATGGCTGGGTACAGATGGACGAGACTTGCCTGCTCCCCGCGCGTGCGTCCATCCGTGCTCCCGCATACGTGGCTTGATTTGATTGAAACAAAATAAAGCCCGGCCCCACCTCATTAAAATCAGAGGGAGATGATTAGATTAGAAATAAAAAAGGAAAAAAAACAGCTGTAAGATAAAGTGGGAGCATGGATGAAAGCATGAGGAGAAGGTAGGCAAGCCGGATCTGGTACAGATACCGGTGAGCGCACCAATCCCGCCGAAGATTTGGGACATTCCGTTTGTAGCGATCTTCGCCATGTGCGCTGCATGTGTTTAATTTGATTACGATCCCCTGTTTTGGAGTTACTTCTCTGCATGTTTCTATGTGGTGGCCCGGTTTGCATGCGGCTGTTGTGATGGCACACGGATATCATCATAAACGGCGTGCGTGGGAAGCAGGATTCAGGCTGCAACGGCGCGTCATTCCCGTCGCTAATGTTGCTTGACCATCTCTTTCACTGCAGAGAAGTCACACGGATATCATCATTCTTTTTCTTTCACTGTCTGCAATTCGTGGTGGCCTACCGCTATGGGGGAGCCATGGAAAGACCGAAAGCCGCCAGATATATAGAGGGCAGCCGCCGGGCGTGCAGTCAATTGAGCTGCACAAGGGACCAACGAGGGATCGCCGGGTGCGGCTGCATAGGGGGGCTCCGTCGCCGCCACTAGGGGCCGAACCGG